GTTTTTCTTTCATTTTTCACATTAAAAAAAAAAAAAGGAAATTTTAAAATCCCTGTTTATCAGCTTACCCTGAACAGAGCAAATGTTTTAATTCTAATTGTAAAATCAGAATGAGCAAATGGAAGCACGCCTACTTGCTAATGCAGCGCCGCACTGGGGGCTGCTTACGTAGACACACATTTGTAAAACTGACAAACAGGTAATTTTAAAATGTCTCTGTGTAAAGAGGGTGGGGGATGGCACAGCTTTGTTTTCACAGGCTACACGCACATGCCTCAGCTCAGTGCCTTGTAAATGTGGTCTCAGTCACTGTACTACAACTTTTTGAGTTGGAAAGTCTCTTCAGGGTTCGGGGCAAAAGGCATTTCACTGCTGATTCAGAGATTATTAATATTTACTGTGTTCAGATTGAGAGAATCATATGCATAATTTTGTAGTGTTTGGCTCAAGGTGCACAAGAAATGCAAATACCTCATAATTTTGATTGTTCCACATGCAGCTCATTACAGTCTTATTTTTATGCACATTTTAAATTCAAAATAAAAAGAAGAAAAAGATTTTTATCTTTAAGACCTTCCTGCGTCTAGGCTTGAGACATTCATTTTCCATGCTACCCACTGAAAGATAGTACCTGATTGATAAAATTGCAGAGAGTCTGAAGGCTGTGCTGTGTGGTTACTACCTTCTAAAAATATTCATGTGTAACTCAAGGCTTTGAAAAATTGTGTGTATGTGTTTTGTTGTGTCGTGGGGTTTTTTTCATCAGCACTTCTTACATTTTTCTTCTTAAATGGGTGATACAGATCAATTTCATTCACCTTACTTAAATAAAATGCTTAAATGAATATCCTAAGGGTTTTGTCCTTTGTAGTCTCTAGAGAGAGAGGAGGACTTAGGACCCATTTAGAGGTCCAGATTTAGACCCTTTGGAAGTCCCTGTTCGTTGTCAATAGAGATGTGGTTATGAGACAGGAGATTCCAGTCTAGAACACCTGAGGCTTGCTGAGTTAGATAAAATCCAAAAAAAGGCAAAATTATCTGTAAGTTTAGAGCTAAAATATATATTTCCAGGGTTTTCAAAGACCTAACTAGTGAAGTCCAAGTTTTCTTTTTTAAAGTTCCCTTGGTGGTGCTTTAAGGTGATTGCTGTAATAACTGTGTTGCTTTCATGACTCTTTTTGGCTTATCAGTCAATAGGATCAGATTTATAGTGCTGTCCAAAATGCTAAGGATACAAAGATATTGACTTTTTTTTCTGGCCAAAATGTTTTGCTTATTTTAAGAAACAGGTGAGATTTGTTTTGAAAGAAGAGATTTGTGGTTCTTCGCGGTATATCATCAACGGATTGTCACATACAAATCAGATAATTTGTGTTGCATATATCTGATCTCAGTCCAGGAAAATACATCTCTCCACTTTTGTTTCCATATTTAAAATTTTCTTTTCTCCTAAAATGGGAATGTTCACAAAGTTGTTATAATTAAGATTTCCATTTGTTTTAATGAGACAATGTGAATTCATTGTTTTAAAACTTTAGAAAATTTGTTTCCTTGTATTTGTTGTTGCTAAAAAAACCACACAAACCAACTCCCAAAAAGACAACACTCCAACGTCCTCATTTTTTCCACTACTGTCACCTTTTTGGCTTCATTTCGGTTATTAGACACCTTAGATGATATAAAGTACCACATTTCCTTTACAGTCCATTGGACTACAATATGAATACATCAGCTAAAGAGCAGACCAAGATGACTTTAATAGAGTTCCTGTGGCCCCTGTCAGAGCCCAGAGTTAGAAAACTGTTTGATTTCTTGGAGCTCTGTGAACAGCAACTTTCCCTGACACTGACTTTGTGACTTAAAGTAGTTTCCAGGTGAACCTGAGCCTAATGAGTATGTCAAGTTTTTTGCACTCATAAAGTAGCTTGGCTTTTCTGATTAGAAAACTTGCTGTGATGTCAAGTGAAGGTCTGGCACATTCCCTAGCAGAGTGACGGGAGAAGGATTGCAGGGGGATGCTGAGCGGGTAAGGCAGAGGCGTGATGGGCTCTCTTGCTTTCTGGGATAACTGGTAGCCCAAAAGAGTAGGTAACTACTTCCTGCAGGGTTATCTTCAACAGCAGTGAAATTCCTTATTCAGCTTTAACCTCCACTGCCTCTGTGCCCTCTCCGGCTGTGGGATGTGTGTGGTATGTACACCATTAACAGTCGGGAGGGAAGGACTGAGCTCTGAGGCTGTGTGACTTGGACTGGAAGCGGAAGCAGGTGTTGGAAGAGCAATGAATCACTATCTGACATGCAAGTATACTTCTATGTACGCTCCAACTGTGCCACAGCATATTTTTCCATCTCTTTTCTGCTGTTTTGAGGATGCACTCTTGCTAAATCATGTAATGTAACCTTGAAAAAGAAGAATCCTGTGGGTTAAGGCATTAGAATAAGAGAATTAATCTGGTTTGAAAATCCTGTCCTTCTGAGGGTCTACATTTGTCATTTACTTAGTTTAGAAGATGAATATGGCAAAATATATTATTTATTAAAGTTGATATAGGCACTAGGCTGTAGCTTCCTTTTCTCACACATTCTTACATTAAAATTAATAGAAAAGAAGCTTCTAGCAGTTTAAACAGAATTTGCCTATATGGCAGAAGGAGTAGGAGCCTTTCCTTGTTTTTGTAAATTATTTAGCAGTGATACAAATATTTTAAAGCTCAAAATTGTGGATGGTCTCTTTTTTTTCTTTTTTTTTTTTTTTGCTTGCTTACTTGTTAGCATGTTAAACACAGTTGTAATTTCAAGTGCTATTGATATCTCCATAGAGAAGCTGGAACGTCTTTCCTTACAGCATCATAAAGTCTATAATGGCTTTGACTTTATTTTGCCAATACTGATTATAGTTGCTAATTGTTACTGCCAGTGCAGCTAAAACATAGGCACTATAATTAATGTATAGACATGGTGAATTATGGAGTTTCTGTGTAGGCACCAGGTTTCTAAGCCTGGATTAAACAAAACCTGAGTAAAGGTGTTATAAATTGTGTTGATAAATATACAGATGTTTGCTGGTATCGTACATGGAAGTTTCCATCTCTGCCATATGTTGATGAGAGGTATATTTGGCTCCTTTGCACTGAAGGAAATTTAGAACTGTGTTACAGCCCATCAGTGGCTATTTCTCCTACAAGTGGTTTTGTTTTGTCATCTTCCCTCTCTTCCAGAATACAGAAGCAGTAATTTAATACATCATATATGAAAGCCATGAGTAACAGAAACATTTATTTTCAGCTCCTTAATGTGACATTCCCATGATCAGTACAGGGCAGTAAGTTTTAGCCAAAACTTTTTTTATCACACAGCTAGTTAGAAACACCTGCTACACAAGTTCTGTGTCATAATGATTTGAAGTATCAAGTAGAGGAGTCTGTCCTTACACAGAACTAATCGATGTCTTTGATAATGACTTGGATGAAAGAATAATATGGGGTTTATGTTTTCAGAAAATGAGAAGGTGGAATGGTCTTCAAGCACTTTTGAAAATGCAATTAGGATTGAGAACGATCTTGACAAACTGGAGCAGTGGCCTGAAGTAAATAGTAGAGAGTTCAGTTAAGACAAAGAAAGCATGACACTTAGTGGAAGTTCTGCAGAAAAAAAAGAGAAAAAAAAAAGAATAGTACTCAGTCATAAGCTTAAACATGAATCAGCAATATCATAGTGCACCAACAATCTTGCATCATGATGTACAAGCAAGAATGGCATAGATTGTTATAATCAAAGAGATTCTTCCAACCTCTTCACTACTACTATGGCCTTAAGAGGAAGATTATGTCCAGTTTTCAACAGCAAGCATTAAGAAAGAGGGCTGTTTCCTTTCAATAACAGAGAACTGTGAGCCAAGCAACAGTGAAGAGGAAGCTGCAACATACATACTAAAATGCATCTGAGGTGGAGGAGAAAATGAAGGTAGCAAACTGTTTTTCATCCTGTATGAATGAATCAATTTCAAGAGTTACTCTAGGGATTCCAGAGCTCTGGAATATGAACCCAAATGTGGAAAATGGGGGCAATTGGTTGAAGGGTTTAGAACTCCTGCAGAGGTAAGAGGAAAATCTGTCTGAGAGGATATTAGAGCATGGGAATGGTTTTCCTGAGGAAGTTTAGCTATCTTCATTACTGGAGGTTTTGCAGAATAACTTACACAACAATTCTTAAAATGTTTTAGGGCTTTCCTAGTCTCTTTTTAGGCCCAGTTGGATTCAATACACTTTATGTGATTTAAAAGGTATGTCTAATTTTGGCTGTTGATACCAGCTGCAATTCCTGAGACGTTTTAGAGTTTTCCCTGCTGCTTTCTGTCAACCACAAACTAGCAGAGCCTCTTCTGTGTTTCTCTCTTCTCTGGCTTAATTTTTGGTCCCCTTATACCTTTCTCTACTTTATGAATAAAATAAATGAAGAAGAAAAAAATATTTGAGGATTCAGCACGTATTGTGTTAAATTCCTTTAGTATTTTGTCATAAATAGACTGAAAGATGGAGGGGAGAAAAGGTTTTTCTTTCTAATCCTCTAATATTAGTCTTACTTATTTCTGGTACACCTATGGTATCCAGTGATCTCATAGTCCCTATGTTTATATTATCACTCCAGCAGCTTGATTCAGGGATAGTATGGTCTCCTACAGCATCACAGATTGCATGATGAGAGTTTTGCGTAGCAGCAGTGCCAGCTGATAATGCTGTGGAAATTCTTTAGGGGGGCTGGTGCAATAAAATGTTTTTGTATATACAGTGTATATACTACTATAGGTAGCTTTTTAGTAGGTATCTTTTTGTGTTGACCAATAGGCTTTCATAACTGCTTTTTAGATTAATAGACACCACTACATAGGCAAACACATAGCTGCTCTTGCAATGCAAGCAGTTTTCAAAAGACCAAATTTTTACAGAATTGTACACAAATAATTGGTGTTTTGTTTTTCCTTTCCTTCCCCGCACTTTTAGCTGGCTGTAAGGTGGTTGGAACACAACTGCCGCTACCAGTACCTGGATGAGCTTCTCCAGTACGTCCGCTTTGGCCTTATGGATGTGGATACATTGCATACTGTAGCTCTTACTCATCCTCTTGTCCAAGCAAGTGAAACTGCGACAGCACTCATTAACGAGGCCTTGGCTTACCACCAGAGCGTCTATGCACAGCCAGTTTGGCAAACCGCAAGGACAAAACCCCGCTTCCAGTCAGACACTCTCTACATTATTGGTGGGAAAAAACGTGAAGTCTGTAAAGTGAAGGAATTGCGATACTTCAATCCAGTAGATCAGGAGAACGTTCATATCGCAGGGATTGCTAACTGGAGTGAGCTGGCGCCTATGCCTGTAGGGAGAAGCCACCACTGTGTTGCTGTCATGGGAGACTTTCTTTTTGTAGCTGGTGGAGAGGCAGAGCACTCCACAGGGCGCACGTGTGCGGTGAGAACAGTCTGTCGATATGACCCTCGCACTAACTCTTGGGCTGAGATAGCTCCGATGAAGAACTGTCGGGAACACTTTGTGCTGGGAGCCGTGGATGAGTACCTGTATGCCGTAGGGGGGAGAAATGAATTGCGTCAAGTGTTACCTACAGTGGAACGCTATTGCCCCAAGAAGAACAAGTGGACCTTTGTTCAGTCCTTTGATCGATCGCTCTCATGCCATGCGGGATATGTGGTGGATGGTCTTCTTTGGATATCAGGTAGAAAACGTTTCACACAGTTTGAGGTACTAACAAAATATCAAAATACTGTCTTGAATTAAACTAATAAATCTTCTATGGTTTATATGTCATGATAACTTTTGTCTTAGGAGATGACTATTTCAAAGAATTGAAGCCTGATTAGAAGTATAGGAGCATAACATACCCATACAATATTTTATTTCTCCTAAGTGTCTCTCTGTGTTTCAAAGCTGCGTGTCATACGTGCTATCTCATGGCTGCCATTCATAAATCACAGTGAATTGAAACGATAATGCACTTTTGGACAAATTTCAGATGATAAATTCTGTGCTTCCTAAAAACAACCAACCAAAAGACAGTTTCTGTAGTATGATCTGGTACTTCTGACAGTGACAGGTCCCGAGGGAATTGCCTGAAGTTGTGTCAGGGGAGGCTTAGGTTAGATATTAGGAAAAGGTTCTTCACCCAGAGGCTGATTGGGCACTGGAACAGGCTCCCCAGGGAAGTGGTCACAGCACCAAGCCTGACAGAGTTCAGGAAGAGTTTGGACAACTCTCTCGGGGACATGGTGTGATTTTTGAGCCGGTCCAGGGCTGTGCAGGGCCAGGACTTGGATTTCCATAATCCTTATGGTTTCCTTCCAACTCAGAATATTCTATGATTCTTTGATTCATTTAGTCCTGATATTGAAATGGAAAATTAGGTGCTTGTTGGCTTGTACTGTTCCAGGGCTTGAAGGCAGATGTATGAATTGCACCCAGTTGCTCATCAGTATACTGTAACAGGCCAAAATGACCTTTGTTAGAAATCATCCATGGCGCTGTCTATAATGAGTGCACAGAACTGTCTGGATGTAATCTTAGCTTTATGGCACAGATAGATGAATGTATAGGCCTTATAATCCTAAACTAATGTATCATTTGCAACTGACTCTGATGCAGTTTTTATGTTATGTGTTACATTATTATGTTACATTGATGGGGGTTGAGGACATTGTTTACTCAGTCTTTGTAATGACTTCTGGGGTTAGTTATTTTGGAATCTGGTCGATAGTGTCTACAGAAAATTTCTTAGAAAAATATTCCCCTTTTACTAAGAAGTGTTCCATGGAAGATTATATAGTTACAATATTTATTAAGAAAGCTAACAAGTAAATGGGGCCAGCCTTTGAGGTAAACGTTCAGTGATTGGCATCTTCACTGTAGATACCCTGTGGTATCCCCTCTGGGGATTTTAATATGGTCTGGAATACCTCTGGTGAAAAGATGGTGTATGAATGGAAGATTAAGTTAGCTACTTAGGCCTTCACCGTGCTTCTCAAAGTATGTTGTTTAGGTGAGCAGATGTACCTTTTTGTCCATATGGATTAAGTGCCTCATGGGAATGGATTCCTAAGCACTGGCAGGGGACTTAGCAGGTATCTGTTTTTACTAATATACACTAAACTCATGAACGATGACTTTGGAATTAACAGCAGGACAAAACGAAGAAAATCAATGAGATCCCTGGCAGGTATTTGCATCTCTTCCTTCAGTAACCATCATTTAAGGAATCTTGTAGAGTTTGTGCTGTGTATTAATCCTGAAGTGAGATCCAGGTACAGTGCAGGAACAGGGTTTCTGTTTTAAGGTACCAGCTGGGTGTGTTCAGTGCATTATCCTCTTTATTGACTACTTTCCTATTTTATTAGTGAAGAAGGATGTATCTCTGTGGAGGGCACTTCAAATGCATGGAGGTTACTACTGTTGTATCTTACTTACTGGGGTTTTTTCCCATCTTATGGTTTACACTTGTCAGTCTCCATTGATGAAGAACAGGGCTTTTCAGGAAACTGTGGTAAGCATATTCATATAAAATCATTGAATGTGCACTAGAAATCCATCAGTGTGGTCTTTCCTCCAGTAAATGAAAAAAGTAATAATTTTTGTCTTAATTTAATTGAAAAAAACCTGAAAACAAACAAAACAACAAAAAACAAACCAACCCAAAAACTCTAAAATATCCAAAACACAAGATAGCATTTGATAGGATTTTTAAGTCAAATGTGGGACTGATTGAAGATTAAATTTAATCTTTCCAGATATGCTAGGAAAGGGGAAATTATACTGAGGATTAATTCATGTGCTTAGTTATGTAGGTGAAATGCATGCCTACCTGTTTGTTTTAAATACTACCTGCATTTATATAATGATGCAGTGTGATATTGTGTTCAAGGATATCCCTCTAACAGAGCTTAGAATCAGGGGGAGAGGTAAGTGGAAGCCTGTTATATCAGCTCTTTAAAACTGGGCAAAACAACAAAAAAGATTTTGTCAGTATTGTTCCATTTATATTTGTAAATGCCATGAACATAACTTCTGTTGTAAAACCACAGTCAAGAACAATGTTTTGGCAATGTAATAAGATAGATAGGGCTTTTCAGTTGTATTTGGGTAGTTTTTGAGAAAATGCTTAGAAGTTTTGAGTTGCTAGATTCCGACAGGTTATTATGAAGTACGAGAGCATACCATGCTACAGTTCAGTAGTGTATTGATCTGAATTATGTACTCACAGATTGAAAACTGGTTTCTATGTATTGAATAGAGTTATTTTAAAATGAAAGGGAGAAGGAGATATAATAACTGTAGCTAGCTTTCTATTATTAATTAATTGCTTAGGACTAAAATGTAGCTTGTGGTACATTCAGGGCTGGGGGAATAGTACAGAGAGATGTTTTATTGTATCATAGTCACTGCTGAAAACGTTCACTGTTCGTCATTGAATATAAGATGTTAGCATAAAAGTAATCAGTAATGCAGGAGGGAACCTAATTTTGAAGTATGTGGCCTAAAATTAAGTAATTAAAAAATTAGTCTGAGTTAGAGATGTTTCTGAGCTGTATCCCTGCTGCCTTTTCTGGGAAATATGGGTCATCAGCAAAGAGCTCTCAAAGTCAGTCTGCTACTACCAGCTGGCAAGGGAACCCTGAAAATGTGCCCAGTTTTTTAGTGAGTGAATAAATTAAACAGTGATAATATAAGTTTCTAGCCCTTGTATTTGTGGAGAGAGTCATCAAAGCATGACCTGCACGATGACCATTTACTTAGTGCCTCTGCTACAGCTGCTTGCCCTCTTAAAGGCTTTGCTGGTCAAAAGCTGACTAGACTTAAGGGGTTTCTGCTATTATTGGGAGTCATTTTCAGCTTTACTTTGCTGCTCCTTTGGGACAAATATGACAAAGATTCAAAAATAACAGAGGATAAAATCATGACAAAGGCAGCAGGGAAGGGAAGTGAGCTAAACAAAATGCTATACAAGTGTAAGCATATATAGGAAATGGGTGGCTAGTGTTTCAGGTGACAGAGGGGCTTCTAGGCTGCTACCACCTCTTTGGGGTTTTTAACCTGACAGAAGCATGTTAAAAGAGGGAGCCTTGGAGCCCTTTGCACTCTAGAACTAGTCAGACCCTCTGGTCAGCACAAGTGGATTCAGCTCTTGAGTTTTCTGGGCTCCATATTGTTATATAATTACTTTTTCTTGGGTGTTTTGGGTTTTGGGGTTTTTTTTCGTTTGTTTGGAGTTTTCTAGTTATTTTTTTTTCACAGCCATAGTTTTATTTTCTTATTAAAAAAAATACGTGGGAATTCGTCAAAATAATGTGCTTGTTTTAACTTCGATAGAGTTAATTTTCCTCATAGCAGCCAATATGGGCTGTGTTTGTATTTGTGCTGGAAACAGTCATGATGATATACAGGGATGTTTTTGTTACTGCTGAGCAGTGCTTGCACAGTCAAGGCTTCTCACCCCACCACACCAGCAAGGATGCTGGGGTGGGCAAGAGGTTGGGAGGGGACATAGCTGGGACCCCCACTGACCAAAGGCACATTCCATACCATATGGCATCATGCTCAGCATATGAAGCTGGAGGAAGAAGAAGAAAATGGGAGGACGTTTGTAGTGAATGGCTTTTGTCTTCCCAAGTCACCATTACGCTTGATAGATCCATGCTTTCTTGAGGATGGCTGAATTAATTCCTTGTTTTGCTTGCTTGTGTTTGTGTGTGGCTTTTGCTTTACCTGTAAACTGTCTTTATCACGAGTTTTATCACTTTTACTCTTCCAATTCTCTCCCCACCCCACCCCGGGGGAGTGAATGAGCAGCTGAGTCACTGACTGGGGTTAAACCACAAAAGATAAGTTCTCTGTACTGACATTGCAGCATCAGGCAGAGGGTTTGGAACTTTTATAGAAGGATGAATCTTACAGGCCCAAGTTAACATCTGATGCCATGACCAATTTCACAAATGAATTGCATGCCATGTGCTTGAAAAGTGAAGTATTTCAGTGAAAGTGAAACAAAATTCACCAAACACTTTGGAGTTCAACATTACGAACAATCATTAACTATAAAAGCGGGGAAGTATTTTCCATAAGAGCGAGAACTTGAACTATGCCCCATTTCCCTGCATCCTCCATGGCGTGCACATGCAAATCTGGAGATCTGCTTTTCCAGACACGTTAACCTTCCTCCACCCGTATAGGTGTAGTGCCCCTGGGGACAGCGAGGGGCAGGGAACCTCTGCCAGGCACTCCAGCTCTGGGCCATTCCTGTGCCTGAATCTTGGGATAATGATGCTTCCCCTGCCTCAGGTGCTCAAGAGATTAGCACATGAAAAGTCTTGTTTAAAGCAAAGTGTTATGCTGTTGTTTTGCAGAGGCCCGAGTTGTCTGACCTTAAGTGTGTCAGCTAAAATCACATCTTGACATACACATAAAAACTCAACTTGGGGGAAGGGGTAAACAAGCCAACCCTGTACAGTTGCTTTGTATTTAGTAAAAGGTATAAATATTTATCTTCAAAATTCAATATTCTTTTTGGGGTTTAACTGTTATTTTCTCCCTAATGGTGGTGATTTTGACCGAGGAAATGATGGTGATACCGTATCTTGGAGAATTATTCTGAGTTTGTAAATGATTCGGAATGAAAAGTATTACCTTACTGTCAGTATGCTGTTGTGAAGAGAAAAATATTTTCTCAGTAATGCCTAGAAAATTCTTTTATGAAAAATAGATCTGGAATAATAAGAATTTACAGAATCTAACAAAATCAGGTTTTACAGTGTGGCTGGCACAGGATTTACCAGGAGCAGGAGGTTAACAAGTACATAAAAATTGCCTCAGTGGCCCAGTCTTAGTCTGTATATGGAACATGTACAGACCTCATTATTACTGTATTTGAATAAAAGTAATAAATCTCGTACCTTTCAATCATGGACATTATAAGTTTGATGCCACTGATTCTTCTTAGATTGAATGTAAACATCCAGTTTTAATGATTTTAAAAAAAAAGAAAAAAGCAGTCTGCTAACAAATGTAGGGCTTGTGCCCCTCTTGCTTGCAGCTGGATTACATCTGGAGTGGCACAGCATTAATTAGAGCTGCTGTTGGCATCTTCCAGGGGACTTCTTAGAGTGGGAGAATATGCTCCAGCTCAGCTGCCCTCAATGCACCTGGGCTGGCTGAAGTAAGAGGCAATGGGTTTGCATGTTGAGGAAGGATTATCTTGTGTTTAACACACAGACACCTAAGAGAGGAGAGATTTCTATTCTAAAATAGAAGAGCACCTTGGGGTGTTATGTCATGTCAATTTCTATATATTCCCTGGATTTGCTGGAAGGAATACACATGGGGGCTCTTTGCCAATATGTAGTTTTACACATCTCCCAGTGAACTCAGATTCATGCAGCAACTGGGGACTTCAGAGAGAGTTGTGAGATTTTCTGGGGGATTTGGATTGGATTAGATTTCTCAAGTCATATGGGGGTCTTGCTAGGACATGTTATAAAGATGGATTATAAATTGTCGTTTGGGAAAATGGTGTTGAATCTACTACCTCCCACCCTTCTCTCTTTTTGGAAGTGTGTGTCTTGAAGGTGTTTTTCAGTGGAGTTTCTGGACAGATTGGGTGGGCTGTAACAACCCAAAATGTTTCCCGTGTGTGGAAAGGGCTGGACAAGGTAAGGTGTGTCTTGGAATCCTCCAGCAAATTCCTCATATAGACGGACACTGTTGCATGAGCTGGGAAGTTACAGGTCCTGAAGGGCTTAAAAACATTTACAGCCTGCAAGGGAGTGAGCAACAGTGACTGTGGCAGTGTAAAAACATTGCAAGCCCACAGGTTGGATGATGGGTTTTCCGTGAGGGCGTGCTCATGTCTGTAAGAGCAAGACACAGACTTGTCCTGAGGGTGCTTCAGGCCTCCCAGGAACTGGAGTCCTCAAAGCCAGCTGTTCATGTCAAAGTGGTGTAACCATCGCTCTATTTATAAAACCCAGCAAGCACTGACCAAATTGTAAATTTTCTGTCATTTACTCAGCCAGACTTTTTCTTCTCTTTCATTAACTTTTGGGTTACTACTACATTAGCTGCTATTGCTTGACATCAAATTTAGTAGCATGGTTTGTATTTTTAAATACTTTGTGTTGTTATGATGTCTCTCTTTCTATCCTCTCCTTTTCTCATAGAAAAAACAGCAGAGAAGTTTAAGGAATTCTCTCAGAATTACACAATTTTTTTCCGGAGAAAGTATGTATTATTTTTAGCATCATTTAAACTTTTTTTTTTCCCCTCCTTTGCCTATGTTTTGAGACACATATTGCTGTTCTTTTGCCCTTTCCCAGCTGCCTGGAGTATTTTTAAAAAAATAGTTCAAGAGGGCATTGCAGACTTGTTAAATCTGAATTTTGGCAGAAAATTTTAAACTTTCGCTATAGCACTTCAAAGTTAGGAGGAACTAGAGTTTGAAAATTGATGCAGATATAAGATGGCATATTTAATGACAGATGTATCTATAGAAACCTGTTAAGATGCAGATTATCCCCCTGAGGAGGGGAGATCAAAACTGCCAATCTATAAAATATACTTGTTAGGGGAAGGCATGGAATCTATCTCTGTGAGCACTTTGATTGCAGGGGACAGTGTAGCAGCATGTGGCATCATAACCTAAGAGCAGACAAATCAGCTTGATGACTTTCAAAGCCAAGAATACTGCTGGAGGCAAGGGTACTCCAGTCTAGAAGAAATTAAAACATATAGAGACTGTTATTAATTCCAGATCTATTTTTGTGTAGTCAAATCTGTATGCAAATCCTTAGCATCTCATTTTGGCAGATTAATCTAAAAGTGAAGAGCGATATGTGAAGGGAATGTAATGACAAAACACCAGAGAGGAGCAATATTGCAGAGGAAAAGATGTAAGCTGTGTACTTGATGTGAGGGGCTCTTTGTGAAGAGAAGCAAATAATTTTGCTTATTTGATTATTTTATTATTTTACGAGGAAGCAACACTCTTCTTTCTCTTCTTCCTCCACATCTTTCGCCCCAAATTAAGCTGTCCTTTTGGAATGGAAATACATGACCCAGCATTGTGTTTCTGATGTGTCTCCTGTAGTTTAACGTTCTGGAGGTAATCATCCAAATAACTATGATTTTTATTTTTCAAAATGCTAATCTGACATCTCATTTTAAACATTGTGCTGGGAGTGAAAATAACTGTATGTAAAAGAAAATCAAATTACAAAACAGATATTAGAAAAGATGGGTTTGTGCGTGTGGCTGATGGCTACTAGGACTGTGGAGGCTGCACAACAGTGTAGAGACAAATAACAGATTGTGAGTTTAGACACAGGAGCAGTCATTGGTTTCCAATGCCTGTTCTCGTGTGTGCACATCACAGGTTCTGTGTTGAGCAGGGTGCAGCACAGTGTGATGGAAATGGTTTGCAAAGGCTGCATCTCATCCTAGCTCTCTCTGAACCTGTAAGTGTCTCTGAGCTGGGAGTTTGTGCCATTGTCCATGTCAGGCCCAGCACAGGTTGGTGCTTGCTGAGATGCACCCAATTAACAGCGTTATTTCTCCCTGCTACTGCAGCTGAAGAGGACTCTAAAATAGATACATCCATAGTTTCTGCTATCCATTGATCAAATTCTCAGCCTCACTAAAATTATTTGGAGTAATCAGAGGGTACTTGTATGTTAGCAAGTAGCTCAACCCAGTAGGAGCAGATCAGCACTAAACTTTGGTTCTGAGTTCTTTATATTTATTCCATGTACATGTTCACATCTTTTGCTTTGGACTAGATTTGTTCTGGTCCTTTGGCCCAAATGTTCCCAGTACTAAGATGGAACAAAGCTATTCAAAAGACCAGTTATTATTTCACACTCTTATGCCACCATTAAGAAGTGAAGCACAGCTGGTGCAAATCTGGAACAGAGCTTCTGGTTTAACTTCAGTGCACACCCGTCCGAACGTACAGCCTAAAAGAACATGTGAGAGGTGGGGAAGTTGCTTCAAAATCACGATATGGCTCTGAACCAAAATGCTGCCCTAGCTGCAGCTGGACACTGGCAAAATGAGGATTCCCCAGCATGGAGCTTGGAGATAAAAGGAAAAAAAAAAAAACCCAGCAGCCTTAGTGGGAGTAGCTATAGCTCATCCAGCAGGAATGAGTAGTAGGAATTAGTAGCTGCATAATAGCTTATTGTATGATTAGTGTTGTAGGTGTCAGTCATCTTACTGACTTATAATGTTAAGTATAGGTGGTAAAGGTTAGACAAGATGGAGTTCTTGTCATACCTCTAAAAGGGGGACTGATGTCTATGGATTTATTTTTAGCTTTTTGTAGATTTTAGAAGTAGCTGTAGTTAGTTCACCCTTTAGCACAGTAGTTTACACATTTACCCATCCCAATTACCCCATTTCATATCTAACTATCTAAATTCCTGTAGCTTGTTTAGACTTCCCTCAAGGTAGGCCTTCTTTCTGTTTAAGAACATTTGCACCCTGGCTTGAACAACAAGATACATCATAGGAACAACAAGATACATCATAGTCAAAGCATCCTTCAAAACCCAGAGTTTTGGAGGAGCTCCAAGGACTGGATGTGCTGTGACTAAGAGGAAGATAAGGAAGAGGGGGTCCCAGAACCCCCTAACTCAATTGCCAAAGAGGCGTGCCGAGGGCAGAACTGGGAGGAACTGGGGAGCTGATAAATCTGGGATTGGTTGGGATAATACCTTATATTGTGGAACTCCCTGGACATGAGGTGCATCGTGTGTATTTCCCTGGGCCTAAGAGCCTAATTAAAGGACCTGCTTGTCTTACCTTATATACTAAATTGGCCTGGAGTTTTTTTCTCTGGGATCTTTTGAGGCATCAGTTTGGCCATAGCTCAGCCAGCAGGAATGAAAATCACTGTGCCGCTGACCTGGCTGAAACAGAAGAGAAGCATCAACAAATGCAATGACAGATGAAATTTGTTCTTCTCATTGCTGTGGATTTTGTCCACTATTGACACGTGCCATTAAAACTCTAATATAAAACGTTTGTCAGTATGAGTCGCACTGGTGTGTGGCCAGTGGCATGCCCTAGTTCTGCCCAGACCTCTTGGTAGGATGAAGGTGAGGTGCAACTTGCAGGTGTTATGTCTGGTCCCACCTTCCCATGGGCCCAGGGTGGTGAGAGAGGGGTACTGGGACCTGTGGCAGTGCTGCAGTGACACAGTTTTCCCAGGAGGTTTGAGCACACTCAAGAACATGTTTGCACAGGTAAGATTACGGACTTGACACTGAAGTTTTCCATGTTTACTCAATGAGATTTGCCTTTTAAAAATAATGGAGAACAGGATGATTGGGCATTAAACATCTGTTTACTGTGTTGAGGTAAATGGTTTGCAGCATCTACTTGGGTCAGACTCTATTCTGAACTTTTCTGAGGTGCTTTATACTTTGCTTTCTGACTGTTATTGGAAAGTAAGTGGTAGACCAGTTTCTGTCACTATGGAGGAACCTTCCAACCTAAGTCTACAACTAAACCAGGAGATACTCTCTCTACAAACTAAATATAGGATTGCTTTCAAATATGTAGGTGAGCTCAGCTGCACACATTTCCTCCATGCTGTCCAGCTGGCATTGGTATCCCACATCATGCTCCTGGTTAGGCAGAGATTCTCTCTGACCTCTTTCTTCTCTTTGATGCAAGCCCACCTCCTCCTCCTTTTTAAACTGTCACACTCTGCACACTCCTTGGAACAGGGATGGGTTTTATCTTAGTGTCTTGACTAAGGCTGAATGCACAGTCATTTAAAAACAGATCAGTTTTTATCTCGTTTTTAGCCCATAGAATTAGCTTTACAAAGGAAGTGTGTGTAGGGTGTTAATTGTTGCTATTCTGTGTTTCTCTATGTTTGACAAATAGGGCCACTTATTACCTTGTAACCAGATTAAAAAGTGCAGTGGAATGTAAGCAGAAGTTGTGGTACTTAATGTAATTATGTCAGCAAATGAACTCTAGAATTGGTTGTTTTGCTGTATCTGATCTCGGTCCTGGTTTTGCTTATATGAAAAAATATAACTTGTATAAACTCTTTCGTAGGAGGAGTAACAAATACTGCACAGTATCAAAACAGGCTCATGGTCTATGATCCTAAGCAGGTGGGTATCTGTGTTGTGTGTTTTTTCTCAAATGTTTTGCTTTAAACAGGTCTCCTGGCAAATGCGTACAATGATTTGTAAGGCTAAAAGCGCTGACCATTTGAATTAGTGGTATTTAAATTCACTGGGTACTGATGTGTGAATTTAACAGAGTAATGGAGACCCTGATGACTTATTATGTTTTTTAAGCCTGTAGGTATTAGAACCATCTTAGATTAAACACAGAAATGTGCTTTAAATCCCCTGTATTTGTCACTATTTATTTTGCTTGTTCGTTTTTTTTTGTAATCCAGCAGCCATGGGCGACATATACTCAAAGTCAGTGTCCCAAAACCGCTACGTGTCATTGGCATTTCTGCTTTGAATTGCATATATGAACCTTTTTGTTTCCTGTATATTTTGAGAACTGTACTACCTGGCTGTGACTTACTCTACTGCCTGCAAGGGTGCCTATCATTTCATTACCCAAGCACCTAAAATATGTTTTAGGGATTATTTCATACATTATGTATGTGTTTTGATTAGGTTAGCATGGCTCAGTAACCATTTCAGAGGGTTAGGGCATGGTTATGCCCTCTTGCTTGTATTAGGAATTAAAAGTCCTAAGCTTGCAATCAGAGTTGCGTAGCCTGATTTACACCCATGTGGAAGATTTTGACTTTGCTGATTGTAGGATAGGGGCTTTGATTGCTGTATTTGGAACCAAATTGTGCCAGGAGATGCTTCTATGTGGTTCCCACTGACTTTTTAAAGCATATCATGACTTTTTAAAGCATAGCCTGAAGCAGAAAGCAGGCGATGGCACACGTGCCTCTTTCTTTTTGAGGTGCAGTTTTATGCATTGATTGTACAAATGCTGATTGTCCTAAATCCAAGTAGTAATTACAGGCAGCAATCTTATTTTGCTTATGAGGGGGACAAATACTTAGCTACTGTGTCTCTATTGTGTACCTGACACTTAGATTCTTTACTTGCTGATGTGAAAGTTGCACCCCAAAATACCAGTGGCAGGGCTACTTCAGCGTGCTGTGTTGACAGTGAGAAAACCGGCCTGGCATGTAAAGAGTTACAGAGGAATTGTGTGCCTGCATTCTTCAAATGAGGTCCGCTTCATGTTTGTACACACAAGCTCTTTTTAAAAATTCAGCTGGCATATTGTTTACGGTGGGTACTGGAAACCATCACATCTGCTTGCATCTCGCACAGAATCTCAATAACTCTATCATTCAGCACCGGCGTTTGCTTCTGCGCGAGGCCTTTGTGGCGAGTCGATAATGCCTGCCATCTGCCACAGAGCACACAGCTACCTGCCAACAAGCCGGCTGGGGTGACCTCTGCTTCCCCACCACTGATTAGTATTCACACATCGGCTTATTAGAAATGACCCCACCAGGCCCCTCTGTTTCTTTGCCTTTGCAGTGCTTTGCGGCTCACCTGGCAGGCACTGCAGTGGAGGAAGCTAAAGATATAATCAGGGGATGCAGGCAGGCTTTCCAAAGCAGATGGTGTCTATAGTCTGGTGTTAAGAGACTGGACTACTAATGCAATCATTAATGCCTAATATTCAACTACTACTACACATTGAAATGTGTAGCTATATATTGTGGAGGTTAAAAGGCAGAAGTTTTAGGGGCTCTTGAGTTACCACAAGTGGTAGCACATGTATCACAAAGAATTTCCTCACAGATTTTAACTTCCTCCACTTAAATTAATCTCATCTGCTGCCAGGTTGTTTGAGGAGCAGGAGCAATTTTTTTCTTAGGTTTAAATACTGTGCTTTAATCCCTTATCTTCCATGTCTTCTCGCCTGTCCCCATAGCAGGTAGAATTCTTGAATATTGTTAATGAGTAAGAAAAATATGCAAAAGGATGTTACTTTGTAAGTTTCCAGAAATAAAGGGTTAACATTAAACCAAATACATTAATCATTTGAGAAGATTCTTAGGAAATTATTTTTCCTTGTTGCTTCATTCTCCAAGGATAAGATCAAATAAGCTTCTGAATAAAGAAACGTAGAAGAATCTCTCGTCTCATAACAGAGCTCATTGGTACAGATAATTGTAGCGCTGTATACAAAGCAGGCATCTAATAGTCTGGCTTAAGTAGCATTTGCTACTGAGTTATAAAGGAAAAAAAATACTTTTGAAACCTGATGATCTAGACAGAAATAATACAGAGCAAGAAATACTATTAAATTAATGAATTTAAATGTGAGAACTGTAAACCACATGTTGAAAGTCCAGTACATCTAGTCAGTGTTATAACCAACACACATGTCTAATATGTGAACAACACAAATATATGCATTTGTGATTCCTGACCAAGGGTAAGAAGAACATCAGTAATGTGCTACTGTTTATTATACTACTAATACAGGTGTGTCTGAGCAGTGCTGAGACAAGTTCTCTCTTTCTCTTTCCAGAATAAGTGGTTAAGCCGTAGCCCAATGTTGCAGAGGAGAGTGTATCACTCCATGGCAGCTGTCCAAAGGAAACTTTATGTGTTAGGTGGGAATGATCTTGACTACAACAATGATCGGATCCTGGTCCGGCACATAGACTCCTACAGCATAGATGCTGACCAGTGGACGCGTTGCAACTTCAACATGTTGACAGGTGAGTATTGCACACCAAAAGGGGAACTTGCTGCTATTGAAGAGAAACATCAGTTCTTTTCTCTTTAGACGCCTTTAGAATTTGGAACTACATGACTTTGCTACCATTGCTTCTGATTTATGGACCATCGTCAGCCAACAAGACATTTTGGATTACAGTTCTGGCACTGAGTGGTCTACAAAACCTTTGTGTTAGCACATTGTACACTAAATTTTTAAGAAAGTGCACATAAATTTAATTTAATGAAGCAGTAAAAAATAATTTGTCATAATATTACCACTACTGTTTTTTGATTCTCCAGAAGCTTGCCTGCAGTCATAGATTTAGCTCCCTGAATGTACAAGAGACTGATGCATCTCTACCATAATAACATAATTTTGTAGTACTTTCTGCTGGAATTATAGGGCAAAGATTTCACTCAAATTCATTAACCCTCACTTTCTTCTAAACAGTATCTTCTTAATCAAATACCCAAAAGGAGGTGTCCTTGTTTGAATTCTGTTGTCAGGAATGAGTTAGTTAGCTGGAGTATCTGTAAAGTTCCTCTTGACTTTCACTAGGAAGAACTGTTACAGTCAGAACTTGCAAAGCACTGCAACTCACTGTTCAGCCATCCAGTCCACCAAAGTTCACCTCCACCTGATACAATTCCCAGATGTACTACCCCCTTGAATCCCTGGGGATTCATAAAGCCATAAAGTCATACAATTCATTCATAGAATCATAAAATGGTTTGGGTTGGAAGGGACCTTAAAGATCCAACTTTATTTCCAACTCTCCTGCCATGGGCAGGGACACCACCCACTAGACCAAGTTGCTCAGACCCCATCCAACCTGACCTTGAACACTGCCAGGGATGGGGCATCAGCCTACTCTCTTTCAGTTTGAATCTATTCCTCTTGTTCTGTCACTATATGCCCTTGTAAAAAGCCCTCTCCAGCTTTCTTGTAGGCTCCCTTCAGGTACTGGAAGGCCACAAATAGGTCACCCTGAAGCCTTCTCTTTTCCAGGCTGAGCAGCCTTACCTTGTAGGAGAGGTGTTCCATCCCTCTGATCATCTTTATGGCCATCTCCGGACTCACTCCAACAGTGAGTTGTCCTTCCTGTGCTGAGGTCTTCAGAGCTGGATGCAGCACTCCAGGTGGAGTCTCACCAGAGTGGAGTAAAGGGGCAGAATCACCTCCCTCGACCTGCTGGTCAGGCTACAAGACAGGCACGTGACACATTCTTAGAGTAGCACCAACAGTAGCTTTGCACAAAAGGTTGGATTTCCAGGATAGCACAGCATTAATGTTGTGCAGCAAACTCGAAGCTCAATTAGTAACTACTGGCTGCCAAAAAGTTTCAGCTCAGACTGCTGTAGGAGTCCTACAACTGAACCTACCTCACTTTTCAACCTTTTTTATTTGGCATTGCAATAATTTCTGAGATCTACCACTGAAAAGGATACAAAGGCTGTAGGAGCCTAACTTAGAAGCTCTAGGTAACTAGAAACGCTGTGTTAGGGAGATGAATGTCTGACAAATAAAGCAGTCACCTTAAGCCATTTTCTGCCTGGTGGGTTTAAAACTGCTCTAGTGGCAACTTTGTTCTTTTAAGATATTGCACAGGGTTTCTTAATTTCTGAGATCTGGAAAAGGGTTGCTTGGTTTCCAAGTCAGGCCATTATAGAGTTCTTGATGAACACTGAGAGGCACAGATTAAAAAGGAGTTACACACTGTCAAATAGAACCAGTTTTTCATCTCTCTTTTGCTCACTAGTTAATTATTTTATTATCTGGAAGAACTGACAGCCTTTGAGAAGGATGTCATCTGATTTGCAAGTGCAAAACCCTGGCACCACAGGTACGCTCATTCTGGAGCTGACCCCTGTCCTACTACAGATAGCTGCCTCTCCTTAGCCTGCAAGGTTGTTTCCACAACCTGCACCTTGAGAAGGCATCTAAGCCTTTCTTTCTGTCTGTGCAACTGGCAGTAAATGTGCCTGTTGCGCTGTGTAGTGCAGATTTTTCTAAGGCTGTATTTATCCGTCAAAACTCCCAAACTTGTTCAGGAGACCGTTGCTGTGGGGATGAACTTGAGCAGCAGCTTCTGCCATTTTCACCGTACTTGTACCTGGAGGAATGGTGGGGGTGAACAGGTGTGGGCAGCCCATGAGGGGCCCTCGTGACTCTCAGCCTCTGTGTCTGTTTGGATGTTCATGTCTGATGGTAGCTGCAAGGCAGGTAGAGGCCGTGAAGCACGTGTATGCAAACCAGTGCCATTGAGAAAGGAGTAGATGG